AGTCCCTGTAGCGTTCATATTAAGAAGTCTTAATTTGTTCTTTCCTCTAATCTTTTTACCTAAAAAGCATTCCTTAACTCCATCTCTGTCTGAAATATAGAAATCTTTAACAATTAACATTTTCCTGGCTTATGTACCATATATATATGTTTCCCCAAAAGTTAAAAACATAAAAAGAATTATTCTAAGGCACGCCTTTATTAATTAAAGATGAAGAAAATAAAACAGTATTTACTTTATGCAACAAATTACAGGCTCGCATGAACAATTGGCCTTACTAAAGCCAGATTCAGAAATAAAACTATGGGATAACGCAGAAAAGAACGGACAGACCGAAATTCACCTATTCTGTCTTGCCGATATTCGCTGCTTCTTGAACAATGCTCCATTCTGTTAGGCATACTGGCGAAATCGGAGGGGCAGCAGTTGTCTCCGGTAGACTCAGGCTACTGAGATCCGACAAGGGAGCAAGTGTTTGCTCGGCAAGCAGGCTTTTCGTTAAGGCTTGATCTCTTGCAATGCTGATTTTCGGAAGACTGGCTGTCTGGGCATTGTCAAAAAGCCGTGCACTCTCAAGAAGAAAGCTAGCGCTAAGGCGAAGTGACGCTGCCAATTTTGCGGTAGCAGAAATAGAGCAAGTGGCCGGATGTGGAGGGAACTCATTCTGGAGTGAAAGAGATAAATTGGCCAAGAAAGCAACGATTTTAAGATTTCTGAGCATGCGAAATATTTAGTTATTTTCACTAATTTATTTTAGCCTAAATTCACTCGATGTATTTCAGAAATAGCGAGTTTTAACATCTTTACTTTACTTTACTCAAATTCATTTATGTTTTATTGAGGAAACTGTGGTTATATGGCACAAGTTGCTAGTAGGTCACATAGCAGATGAGAAATTCAAGGATAGTGACGTCGCCAGGATACTCATGATCCGGCAGAGAATCCCACGAGATATGCTAATAAGATCTAAGAGAGGTAGAAATGGCAGTCCTTCCTGGATGAGAATACCTTTGAGGAGGCAAGGATAAGCGAAGTTTAGTGGTATCAGGAGGCTATCGTTTTTCTTTTTTGGGAAATGCTCAACGATTATGAAGAGAAGCTGGATTTTGAAGGAATTCTTAGTAAATTGATATTAACATATATTTTATTTCGTTTAAAAAGGCGGATCGAATGAATTCGTAGATTGGCCTCATCGGAAAGCGAAGGAGGGCTGCCTTTGACTTTTGTCTGTTGAATTATGCGAAGAAGACCTCGGCTCATCGTCCTACTACCCCGCTGACTCCGTGATGGGCTTTCGTCCGTCATGTGACGGACATCAATAGAGCCAGAGACCATTATTCACGAACAATCACCAGAAACACTAAGCCAAGAAACGACCCTAGAGCCATCAAATCGTTGGACGATACGCTGAGTTCTTCACACAATTCAACAGACAAAAGCCCAAAGCAACCCTTCTTCGCTATTCGATGAGGCCAATCTATGAATCCCTTCCTCCCGCCTTCTCAAACGAAATGTAAGGCATGCTGGTATCACTCAACGTTTATTCCTTAAATTATCTTAAGCAACTTGGCATGACTTGGTTCTTAAACCACTTTATAGCACCACTTATTTTCTTTCAGACCCTCTAGAACATAGTAAGATATCGTCAGAGCCATAAACCTTTATTCACGAACAATCACCAGAAACACTAAACCAAGAAACGACCCTAGAGCCATCAAATCGTTGGACGATACGCTGAGTTCTTCGCACAATTCAACAGACAAAAGCCCAAGGCAACCCTCCTTCGCTATCCGATGAGGCCAATCTATGAATCTCTTCCTCCCGCCTTCTCAAACGAAATGTAATGCATGCTGGTATCAGTCAACATTTATTCCTTAAATTATCTTAAGCAACCTGGCATTACTAGGTTCTTAAACCACTTTATAGCACCACTTATACTATTTCAGACCCTTTAGAAGATAGCTAAACGTTATTTAGTTGAAATTCGATCTAATGGATGTGTACAAATTTAAGATTAACATGTTAAGTGATTTAATGAAATGGATTCACATTTTGCTTCTTGGATGCACCTTAATGAAAAAATTCTTACTCTAAAGCATGTAATCATCGTTAGCCTTATCCCAATTCTGGATGGTAAGACACATGACTTTAATCGCCAACTGAACCTCCCGATACTCTAGTTATAAATTTAAATAACCCTGAAGTACCGACAAAAACATATAAATCATAATTTAACTATTAAATTCAATTTAAGTCGAAACGTAAGGGCAAATTAATGTATTGCGCTTAACTAATTAGGATAATATCAGCTTAAAAATCTATTAAAGTGAACCTCTAATTGTGTAACTTGGATCATTTGAAAATGCCCATTAAATGCATGATAATTGTATAAATACATGATAGATCATTGAAAGTAGACGGAAATCATCATATTTAA